AAATGGAAAGTTTATTGGCCAAAGCGGATATTGATCCTGGATTCAAACTCGTGACCATAAGTGTGTGATAGGGCCCAACTTGCCACTACACCACCTCCGCCCCATTTCTGATTTAGACTTGTTGATTCTGCGTAAAAGTCTTCACTTGGAATAGCCACCTTTTCCACTTAGATTTCTATCAAGGTGAAAGTTCTACGACTGAAACAAGGGATTCGAAAAGCTTCAAGACAAGCTGAGGGGCTGACACATGAACTTGCAAATTAAGAAACGCTTGGTCATATCTTAGTAGTAGGGTGATGGGATCAGAACTCAGGTAGAAAAAATTCCATGTTTTGCAGAGCTTTTTGATGGCCATACGCAGTTTTCTGTAGGAACTGCACACCTAATACTCCAACACTGCAAAACTGTTGAAAATACGAAAGAACTAGAGTAAAGGTGCGAATGATGTCGGAAAAGGTAATGATCAATAAAAATCACATTCGTAACAGCACAAAAAGGTCAAGTGAACTACTGGATTATAATTTAAAACCCTTGAACATTTCAATGAGAGAGCGACGCCTCTCGCTGATATTGAGCTGATTATGTTGAGCGGAGCCGGCCATGATCATCGCCGATCTGAAATATTCATTCACAGTTCTCTTTTCTTCCCTGCAGGGCAAATTCCCTACAGTTTTCCAATGACTACAGAAATACAGAGAAAGAAAAGGCAGAAAAAAGCGGTCTCCCGTGTAACTAGTTTGAACCACACCCACCCGGGAGCAGTAAAAGGTTTCGAATGACATCGAAGGAGAAGTGTGTCCTAAGAAGAAGCTCGACTCAGGTCAGTCGATATTTTTCTATGTTCAAAAGTCCATGTGGTTACGACTCTGGGGTTTGACTTCTAGAATAAATCTCTCAGACGTTCTGAGCCATGAAATATGTGTTCCTCAACGGCGTTAGACAAGAAGAACTTTTATGGTAGCTCTGGTTCTTAATAGTGTCTGCAGGTTAAGTTCCCTAGACCAATTCATGATAATTAAGGTCGAAGTTGAGTCAGTGTCCACTGACGTTTCTGCCTTCCCCTGTAGAAGGAGCCCACAGATTCCCACGGAAATAGGGCAAGAGGAAATCAGTACGCTACCTGTGAACGAGCTCTCGCAGTTGAGCAGCTTTGAGTTCCCGATTCAGCTTTCGTGTTGTGATCACGTGGGCCAAATAGGTGTAGAGAATGAAACCGATCACAGATCCAAGTATCAGAAAAGACATCACTTGTGAACTGGCATTCATTCTGGAATAGGATTTGGTAATGCTGGTAGACGGCCCTTTCCTAATCGAGAGCCTTTTAAGAAATGAATGCTTGATAAGTGAAAGTATACTCTGTCTTGGTAATTCAGTTCAAAGTAGCAACTTTCTGGCCAACAGGCACAAGCAAAGTGGGTTCACACTATTTGTACTGCAATGCTCATGAAAATTTGTCGTTTTCGGATATTCTACTGCTTTTATGGTGCCTTTTGTGTAAGGCAGCATTCTCTCGTTCTTGTACCATCATGAAATTCCCTACTGAAGAATTTCTTTGAAGCGATGAGATTGATTCCCGAGAGTGAAACGGTCATTGAGCTGGACTAATTGGGTGCTTTCAGAGTTCAATGACGTCGTTGTTCCAACCGACGTGCAACAGACCGAAAGGGTTGCTGGCCACATG